GCACTGTACGCCAAGGGGTGAAAGTTTCACCGACTTCACCACACTATCCCTTAGCGACATCTTGTGCTTCGGTATTCGATAGTTTGCACATGACGTATCGTGAGAATTGATCTTGGACCAGCAACAAGTATGTATTTCCACGATTGGACTCAGGTAGCCCAGTGACGAAATCCATAGAGACCAACTCGAACGGATACCTTGGTTCGATATTGCCAGGTGACGGGCCAAGGACCGGTGGTCGCCCCTTGGGTGACACACAATCCATGCACTCCCTCACAAACTGCTGGACGTCGGCGTACATCCCGATCCAGTAGAATCCTGAACGTAAACGCTCCAATGTTCGGTTGATTCCTTGGTGACCGCCTTGAAAGTCTTCATGCGAGTAGTGTAACATGTCAGCCCGTAAAGTCTCTGGGACCACCAGTCTGAGTTCGGACCGTTTGTTGCGGGGCCCTTTAGGGGTTGGTGTACTCAGTCTGTAGAGGGGTTCTCGTGAATCCAACACAAACCGATCGGAGACCTTCGCAATCTTCTTCACGGGTTTACGGGGAAGGTCTGACACATCTCCTTTTAGAACCTTCTTCATATGCTGAATCCACAGATCTTCGTCTTGGTGAACCTTTATCCTCCTCCAACGTTCATCCTGGTATCCAGAGAGGTCTACAGGTGATCGGGAACCTGTGTCCGCTTCCGCGCGTGATCTTGTCATCACGATCTGTGCCTCAGCAGCAGCAGCTAAAGACTCAGGTATTGCGGTATAGGGGTTACGCGCTCCCAGTCCGACTTGGTCCAAACTAGCCACATCAATCGCAGGGGTACCTGAGATTTCCGAAGGCTTCATGATCTTTTCAGGGATTCTGGATACGAGATCTAGATGCACTATCCCATCGGGGTCATCGAGCTCCCAGAATTCTCCGAGCACGAGAGCCTTAGAGGTCAAGTAGTCGGCCGCTTGCTTAAATTCACGTTTAACATAAATCAATTTCACAGACACAAAATACTTCCTGAGGTCCTCATACTTAACGAAGCGTCGTTGCAAATTGGGCTGATTGCAATTAATCAGGCCCTGAGCTTGTTGAATGACGATTAGGGAATCACCAACTGCCACAATCGCCTTGACGTCATGCTTTATAGCGCGATTTAGTCCCAGAATCAAACCATGATATTCAGCATCGTTGACCGTCACACCTTCTAGGATGTGTCCTTCAGCCTACACGATATGCCACCCTGGCAGTTTCCACAGTCTACATTCGCAGCTTCATCGACGAGTAGAAACCTTCGCAGCGCCATCAATACTCAGAACATAGCCTTGATAATTCACGTCCAAAATTTCCAGACTCACTGGTGGCATCACTTTCAGACGCCCCTTGGCGGGAATCAGGGTTTCTGCAACTTTATCGAAATTTTCTCTGGGAGTGATACCGGACCCAAGGATGGCCGGAAGGCCGTCCTCATCTTTCTGAGTCCGATGAATTTCCAGCGTCCATCTTGATAGTTCCATCCCCCACTTCAGGTGTCGTCCATCTGCGGTGTTAGACTGTAACAACCACTT